AGAAGAACCAATATTAGCGAAACACATATAATCACATATATTAACTTGGTTTGACGAAAGACCCACCTGGAAACAAGCTTAATCTTCCGTTTACGATTAGCAGTATATTACGTCTATACATGTACTGCGACATCTCGGATATCGTAGCAACGGAAACATGAGGGGAGACTGTTGTAACAGATAAAGTTGCTGAAAAATATCAGAAACGAGAGGTTCAGTTGGATTTCAGGTGAGTCTCAAGTAAAAAACCGAATTGGTGTGCAACTAAGTCCAGTTCTCTAATTTCGTGCAATTCGGGTTCGACTGGGACAAACGGTTGATGGAAGATCGGGAACTGCGCCTACCTGATGGACTTCAAGAAAAAAGAAAGGGTCTTTCGGTTTTCAGTAACCTAAAGAGTAGTGTACTAAGTCTATACAAGGATCAAAATCATTGAAAATCGAGTAATCTGTGGACATCGTCACCTTGTTGGGAGGTGACAAATTTTTGAACGAACAAGCTGTCGAACTTATTAGCCTAAAACAACTGGTTTATGAATCTAGATAGATCGTTTTTCTACATAACATTAGCAGGGGAAGAGAACGGGTAATGGTATCAACGAACCTAACCGCCAATTATAAACCTAACATTACGTTGGAATGTGGCAAGAGTGACACTGATAGTAAGCATGTGCATCAAGGCTAATGGAACTAGAGGTAGGAGGTGGACGAGGCAATATGCAGCGGTTAGTAGCAATGAAAAAGTGATTGAAGATACAAACTTCCAACACTCCCGCACTGTTCGATGAAAAAACCTGGCTGACTCAGTGGCATAAAGCTTTTAGATGACAGATATTTCAGAGAATGAACAGAGCGGTCATCTTCCACCAAGCGAACTAAGCGTATGTTCGCCAAGATTTCTTAACGTGGTACCCTGGCCTTCACTACAAGTACCTGTACCAGTGAAGTTTTCAAAGGTGCCTTCAAAATTCCACTCACTGTCGATTTCCCTATTCACGGGACTATTTTGGGCCTCGCATATGTTTAATCACCAAAAGCCATTGAATGATAGTTGACTTAAAGCTGCAAGGTATAAAGGGGTGTGCTTCCGCTCAACGCATACCACTTTGTGTGAGGCGCTAGCCTACTGAACACTACTCAAGTTACTTGCTTGGGGAGCTGTGAAACTATATTTTAACTCTTTCTGATCTGCAGACTATCCTCTTTCTTCTACGTGATGACAAACAGTATTTTGTGTAAACCCCACACTGTCGGCCAATCAATATTCCTTGCATTCTTTTGTATGTGTGAATCCACAAATCACGTGGATAAGAGTAGAGGAAGGCAAATTTGTTAAATCACGAATCAAAAATGCTGCCAATTTTGAAGTGCCATCCTTTGGTTACTGCTGGGTGAGAAATTTGTCTGTCTAATTATTTATTTTGGAGCTTGTGTTTTGAGTGATGTTGTCCGTTCTTTAATGGACGGGCCTTTTCAACACTCCATTAAACAAAGACCTCATATAGACAATAATGCTATGTCACGATAAATTCCTACAGTTCAGCAGTTGCTAATCAAGGTAATGTAATTGTTTTGTGGAGGACCATCCTAAGGATCGCTTTCTTTCGTGAATTCAGGTCGGACAAAGTTTGAAGGAGATCAACTGTGCACTAGTTGAACACATGGTGAACGTCTCCGTTATCAAGCAGTAAGTGATTCGAATTTTATGACGACTTTTTTCTTAGATACTATTTGTACGACTTCCAGGGGATATGCATCGAGGTCAACCATGGCGCTCAAAGTTTAGGATCACGGTTGCTCGCAGTAAGTCATGCGATTTTACAATTCAGTAAACCTATGGTTTTTTTATACATCTGGCTTTCGCATTGTAATTTATAGCACAGTGACTTCATGCTTTTCGTTTTATCGATTTGTCTTGTTGAAATGAAATTATGGGTCGGATATTTTGGTTGTGAAACGCTCTGAGCACTAAAAAAAGGTCAATGCGACAATCATTTTCTGATTAGTTCAACTGCGAGGACCGAATACCGCAAGCAAGGAATAGTTTGCATAAGATCAAAAGAGAATGGCATCCTACAACTCAATCACCAAAACGGATGTCGCTCAATTCGCGGAAGGGTTCATGTGTATTGGCTCATTTCTCCATATAAGGCAGGCATCAGGAGAATTCTATCCCGGCATTCTCCCGATAATCGTTCTGTGAGCAAAAATGCATTGAGGACTGGAATTTCGTAAGTGTTCCTCTCTCGACCAAATGGTTGGAAGTTTAAAGGTCAAAATGATGATTACCCAGGTTATGGTAAGTACAACCTAATAGCTTATGGTCAGCTGGCAAAATTCATCCAAAATAAACCATGGGTTTTCAAGAACAATAACTACACAGCGTGGGACCAAATGGTTGGAAGTTTAAAGGTCAAAATGATGATTACCCAGGTTATGGTAAGTACAACCTAATAGCTTATGGTCAGCTGGCAAAATTCATCCAAAATAAACCATGGGTTTTCAAGAACAATAACTACCTCAAACAGCGTGGGAGCATCAAAAAGCGACGAGAATGAAGAGGGTGATGTCTTCTCTTTAAGCAGCATTGTCGCGCGAGGATTTAATGACTCAAATCTCGCCTAAAACATTTACGAGGTCTTTTTTCACTTTTAATGGGCCTAATGGTAAAAATGTGGCCTACGTTATTCACTTTCCACCTCAGAGTAACACTGAGCTGAGTTTCTGGATTCTAAACGTAAATTTAAATGCAAGAAGGGAATAGATAACATTCGACATAGTAACCAAAGTTGTTCGGGACATGGAAAACTGGTAATACATCTGAACCACGAGAAAACAAGAAAGTTCATTGGTCTTAATGGGATTGTTTTCAGCGCCCAACACTTTTTATGGGAGCTTCTGTCCCACGCAGTTAGAGAGAGAGCAGTGATAAAACAAATGAGCAAACCAACTTATATACATCGATAAATCAAACAAGCGTGAGTGAGAAAGGCCTTTCATGAGGGAAGTTGGTTTCGCTTATGGAGTACCACCTTGCGGTGGCCTTGACCAAGAACCAAACAAGCCGGGCTTTCATGAGTACGTTTGTTTGTTGAAACCCTTGATATTGATACACGTGTCTGCTACAAGACCTCAGGATAAGATGTAAAAAACACCACACAGCTTTTCCGTTATTCATTTGGACCGATCAACATATATTTCCCCTCTAAACCGGCTTGGGTCCCTACCTGGAAAGTCATGAATTTGGCAAATGTCTGTTATCATGATACTCTGTTGGTGGCTTCTCCAAAGTACTAATAGAAAACATTAGTCGAAAATGCACCTTAACACTCAGTGAAACTAGGATGGATTGATTTCTAACGGTTTTATGAGAATACGTCTAATATAGATCCCTTGAGATCTCTGCCAACCAGGTGGACATTAAAGTGGTTCCAGAAACTTCTTGCAGTCATTTTTTGCTGTTAATTTAATTTAGAACCGTCTGACTAAGTTACCTTTCAAATTTTGCATCTGATTCTTATCGATAACTGTACACACCATTACGATTCAGCACAAACTGCTAGTTTGTAATGACCTAAGATCAGCAGACCTCTTACAGTCATTCGGTTTGTCATATTGGACTACTACTTCTAAGTCAGGACTATTTCACAGTACTGAATGTCCAGTTCATTCTATCGAAAGCAGCGAGCTGTTCCATCGTGAACATAAAGCTCCCTATGAGCCTCTTGAAATCCGCGAGGAGTACTGGAGGTGACAGGGAGGGTCGGAAACAGTCAGTGTAATCAATCACCACCAGAAGCAGGTGAAATCTTGTGTGAACTAAGTTTGCTTGAAATCCTGTCCACAAAATAGACCGAATTCCCTTCATCATTATTTCCCACCTGTGTCTTAGCAAGCGATGAAAAAACGGTGCGTGAGAAAGTGAGTCTGTTGGATGGTCTCATGGCGGTTTGAATGGAAGGGTAACTAGAGTCACAAAACATGGGTCTATAGATTGTAGCCGAACGATTGTTCTGTCACGGGTGAGTCAGCTGACCTGGAAGCGAAGGCATCATTTATAGTTGCTGATATCATGAAGACCAATGGCCAAAGGAGTGGTAATATGAGCATCAAAGAAAGCTATAGTGCTTCAAAGCCATTCCGAAAGCCAAATTCTCAGTTCAGACGCCTCTTGGAATAGAAAGGTAAGAGCCGAACGAGGCACGAAAGTCTTATCCATGGGCGAGACTATAATCACTGATGTATACGGAAGAAGAGAAACGAGCAGCTAAAAAGTCAGCTTTGACGTGAATGGACATTGTAGTAAAAATGCTAATAATGCTCTCATGGCATTGGTTGAAGAGTATTGAAGAGTGACTAGCAAAATTTCTGGTCTGCCAATTTACTGAAACAAAGCTCAAAAGCACTAACTGTCAAAGGAAGGTGAAGCACGTGGGGAATGAATGCCGTATTTGAACGTCCAAGTTCTTTAGACAGACATCCAGTGTAACAGTGCACGAGTTAATATAGTTGAACTCTGGACAGTCACACAATAACGAAATTCAGCTGCCTAACTATCGCAAATCATGTCCCTTGCTAATACTACTCATCATTCATACGGAAACCGAACCAATACAGTTCAAATCCCGGCACGGCCATTGGATATGCACTGCTGATGAGCAATAATAAGAGCAAACTCGAGTCTACTGCTTCCCTTTGGTGTGGACTCATCGGAATAATTACGCGAGAACAAGGGGACGGCTGTTCAAACGAGAGGGGTGTGACTACGAACAAAATACCTATCCCGAAAAAAAACCCAAAACTGCAATGCAATATAACTCGTAAATGTCCAAAAGAAACCAAGTGTACCAAGCCAATGAACAATCAAGTATTCACCATAATCTTTCCCATTGGTTGAATTTTTGCCGTGGCGAAGTAGTGAGTCTCAACGAGCAAACCGAACTGTGAAAATACGGACATCCTCGACGTTCAGCTGTAACTCCTTTTCAGTGCCTAGCTTTCATGCCACCCGAAGGAAGAACGAGGGCTGTAATAATGCCAGTTTGCACAAGCCTAGACAGACGAAGTCGTGATTCAGCGGTCGAGTTCAAGCCACGGACCTTCCGGTCAGTTAACCTTCACTCTAACTACTAAGCGATCTCGCCGCCTACAAACACACCCTCCTCAGGAAAATGTTAATTTCTGAAACCAATTGTTCCATACAACTGTCTTCTTTAACAAATTTCAATTCAAAATTCACTGAATTTCGTCGCCCTGAATTAACCTTCTCTCTTTTCTGAATGTTGGACTAAGGAGAGCAGAAGGTAGTTTATTCAAATGGAGTGAAATTGTTCTCTGTCCCAAAAAACTTGTAAATATCGTAGATTTAAACTGTCCTGCCCACAGCTCAATGCAAAAGTGGAGAACCTTTCATGTGACTGACGTTCTAAAGGCTTTCCGGTGCAGTTCAACCGAGAATGCTTCTTATTGCACGTCAGTCTATCTGTAAATTGAAAATCTTGACGATTGTTGTTGCTTTGCATAGAAAAAATCCAGCACAGTAGACACAGGAAGGCTGTTTTGTATAAATCTGATAAAAACGATTATTACTTTTTTTCAGCCCTTTTACGGTTTCGTCAAACTACTCATGAAAAGTATGCAGGAACTAATTCTGTAAGTACCTATTCTCATACGTTCCATCCTACTGATAAGCCATTTTGTTCGCCTGGTCCCTTTTTGCCCAGAACTTCAAACATTACCTCAACTTATATTTTCAAATGCTACCAACTAATCTAAGATCTCATTTGTCAGGGGTTAGTGTGTGAAACATCCATGATCGACTCGTCTCACAATGGTGAAGTTATATTCCTCAAAGCTTGGAACGGGTGAAATCCACGTTTGGTCAACGTAATTCCATTTCATACGTGTCTCCACATACAAGGAAGATAAGGCACCTTCTACCCCTAAGAGAGTGACCTCAAAACAAAGTAGCGTAGCTGAGTTTTGGAAACTAGTTGTTTTGGGAAGAACGGGCGCCTCACGAGAATTAAGCTTCCAAGACGAAAGCGATCTAGTCTGCCATACCAAACGCCCGTGAGATGCAGCATAACAAAAACCTGTCGGAACAGGTAGGTAGAAACTGAGCAATAACAGTTGTCTGCCGAAAGGCTACTGATTTTTAGGCCAAAAAATTAGGTAGGACGGAAGTATAGAGTTCTTTATCAAACAACTTTAGAACTGAACTTGATGGTAACGGGACCGTAGAAGGCATGCTTGTGCCCATTCAAGGGGTATGAAAGTATAATCAGCATTATTTAGGTGAAAGAAGATGCATGCTTCCCCTATATTTTTGGTAGGAAAAAGCCGAGGTGAACCTAAACTTATGAGGAGTACTTTTTTGAGCAGTATACTATTCTGAGGCACAGAGCATTGTTTTGAAAACTTTGACTTCCTCCAAGACAGCAAATGCAAGTGAATGCAGTACCATCTGGAGGAAGACGCTGTGAATAAGTCTACCTCTTTAATTCTACAAAAAGTCGATAAAGGAATAGGCAAATGTTTTTTTTAAGTTTCAGAGCGCTTTGTGTACCAGATAACGACGTACATTGTCCCGAAAGAATGCAGGAACTCGACGGCTCCAGAAAAATAGAACGGAGATGTGGAATGCCGTAGATGTCAAAACCAACCATGGACCAGCTTAAACTTATCCTGTTAATTTACTGCCTTTTTAACCATAGTTAAACGCATTTTTTGTCACGCGTATTTAACAGGGCCGGTGAGACTGCAGAATTCTTGGCTGCTAGACTGTTTTCCGTCTTCTGCAATGTCATTATTTCATTTAACAGCTGCTCTTCCGGGATGTGGGGGAGGTAAAATTGCCGATAGTATCAGCAGTCATTTCGTGTTGATTCGTCTGTACAAGAACTCAATGAAATAAAATAAGGTATCACTAAGATTTCTACCACTTGTTCACAGTGAACGTTGAAGCGCAGTACACTCATTTGTTAGCTATTTTGATGCCAACTTAAGACCTACCTGAATCTCGCGTTTCCGATTGATTTTTGAGTTTGACTTCATTTAAACGATCAGAATAAGGCAATGGCCGTTAAGTGTCTCTAATATTTTTGACAAAGTGTACAAGTGGTACGCTTTCATGATACCATTTTAGTAACGCCCGCAAAATCACAGGGTAAGCATCTCCACTCATATGAGGAAACAAAGTGAAAGTGGGAGGTGTAATAGTTATGAAGAAGAGAACGCTCAGAAGGGCAATCATATCCCTCACAATCTTTGAGTGGCTCATTCATGATGCAATGCCGTTGATGTGCATATGAGAGATAGGTCGGTTTGAGGAAGATAGGGACAGAAAATCATCCTGTTAGTAAAGGTAGTGCCGGCATCTTTAATATAGATTAAGGAGGGAAGTAACTGTTATAAATATTGCGGGGTCTATGTTCATTTTACCTCTAGACAACGCGATGACACTCGAAAACGGAACGCAAGCGACTAAAATAGATATCATCAATTGGTCGAGAAACACTTTCATAAGGAACTATAAAGAAGCGCAAATTGTCAGTTTATCCAGTAGCACCAGGTAAATTGTGCCGTGTACCCGTGGTTCTTAATGTGACAGTTTGTTCACTACCAGCTGGCCATTTTATAAAATGGGACAAGGATGGCAAAGCCCTGTTTAAAAAAAACGTTTAAACGTGTAATATCCGAATTCCTCGAACAAACTTAAAGACAAGGCATATCGCGCGTCGTCCTCCACCAAACAAGAAGCATTGGTCAGAATTGCTTGTTTCATGTAACTGCCATTGGTACCGCATACAAATGAAACTTCAAGGAATCCCGCCTTATTGTCCTTTTTGTAGATGGGATTGAATATTCGACGTAACAGCACATTACGGTTGTGCATTACTCGTCACTAAATAGCCCTTGTGTCTGCTCCGCCTGGACCGATTTTACTAACTGTCACCGAAGATTATGCCAACAACAACTTTGATGAATCACTGGGCACGTTACTTTCTAATGGGACACACCACAAGCGGGAATTATCTGCAAAATTCTGTTCCATCTATAATTCGCACCATCCAATAGGAGATCACAGTTTGGTGACTGTTCGGATAGCCCTTTTTTGTTATCGGGGCTGAGCAATGCAAATCGCCTTAACATCTGATGTTATCTTTTGACGCCATAAGCGTTTCTTGCATCCAACTAGTCCCGTCTATGACAGTCAAAATCTCCTCCACTAACTCAATTCAAATGAATCAACGGAGTAGAGTGCATAAATCGAACCAGATAAGACCTAAGTGCACGTTTTCAAGCAGCCAACCGGAGGTCTAGGACTTGAAACCTGCCCTTCGGATACATGTCTTACAAAGCTCAGATAACGACTGTACTTAGCACCAAATCGGTGCGAACTATGTACTCAGCCAAGCGGTCACTTTTCGGCTAGACACGCCCTTATATTTATATGCAACGAGAGCCAACTGAGTCCATCATTCCATCCACTCTGAACTGTACACAAACCGTGCCGCAATCAACCCACCCCATTCAGCCAACTGCCAAGCTAAATGCGAAACTGGCCCCGGTGCAATTTCCCTTCGTCAAAATGAGCAGCGTACAATTTTGACTGAATCTAAATTCCGTCCGCCTAAAGACCTATGCAGCTTTCATGGACGTTGTAGATATCAAAGTCCTAGTACAAAGGGAAAGATGTTCCGTAAACAAGTGGACCAGGTGTGAAGAAATAACGTTCTTCGCAATGGTTGACTGATTTGTTGACTCAGAAACCCTGACTTTTCTTCTAACGTTCTGGTTCTCATAGAAGCATTTCTTCGTGTGAGCGAAGATCGGTGCACAAGCGCGAATTACGGAACTCACGATGAGATAGGCAAAAATTCCATTTTTTTGGAGAAATACCTGACACGTTTGACTATAACCACCATCATACAACAGAGATCATACAGCAGGTTTAACTTCAGAGAACGGAGGTCACCATGTTGAAATATTTGTTCGCTTGTGCATCATGGCACTGTTTGAGGGTAGCTGAGTCACTTTTCGATGGGTTGGTCCGACAACTTTCATCTTGGTTTAATAAGCCTTCCGGAAATAGGAAAATATTTTTCGCTTGATCATTTCACCGCCTAACAATGTATCCATTAGGCCGCATTATTTATCGCTTTGGAACCCAGACTGAAAGTATGTTGCATCGACAAACTACCCCTCCATCCTTTTTTCATAAAGGAAACTACTCACAAGGTTGCTGAAAACTCTTCGACAGCCGACGACCGGTTTCGCCCTTCTTGGGGTTCATCAGGTGGGCGCAGTTCCCGAGTTTCCGTCAACCATATGTATCACTTGAACCCAAATTGGACTGTTTTCGAGAAATACACAAATTTGCAAATCAATTTGGTTTTCACGAGAGACTGAACTAAATCTCTCCTTTATGATATTCTACAACTGAATGTGCTGCACACAAGCCTCCTCATGATTCAGTTGGCACGATACCGTCCAATGTAGAATATAAGTAGAATATAAGCAGAATATAAGTAGAATATAAGGTTGACTGAAACTCGGGACTAACTCTCCATCCTGTTTATGTAGGTTCATTCAGCCAGTACGAACTCAATTTCCGTTTTTGCGCGTCCACATTCCAACTTACCCCAAAACATGTTGTCTCAAGATTATAGTTCCGGGCATAATCACAAATCTAGCAGATTAGTTTCTTTCCTGGTGATTGGACAAATGAGGAATCCGTAATCTGCAACCTGTACACATGCACAAATGAAGCCCAGCTAACCTAAACGAAGTTTTACCGGTATAAAGTTTGACTTTGAGTGACCCCATGACCGCTTGCTTCTTCACATACAGCCAAGTCAGATTACGAGCTTGTTCACAGCGCCTACAGAAAATGGTGCGACGTTCCCTTAATAAGTTGAATTGTGGGTACAATCTAGTTTTGTTGTTTTACCACCCGTTTGGACGAAGCTGGTCAACATAATTCGCACCAGAAAGCTCGAGAAAATTAAATTTTTGTACGCGTATTCAAATCGTAGTAAGATATCCGTTTCTGTTGTAAATGAAGTGATTCTAGACTGCTAGGAATGCAAATTGTTCATAGTGGAATACTTTTAGGGTTCCGGGTTCTATCGTGCACTTAGTGTGAAAACAGGTTTTGGAGCGCATTCTCTGACGTAATCAACAGGGGAACTGATTACCTCGTATCCTTCTGGTCCGCATCTTGGCCATTTCTTGTTGTGGCCCATTGCCAAAACTTCACTTGGTTTCCGCTTTCGGATTTTGGGTTATTCAAACAACACCTGCGGCGTAAAAAAAAGTAGAATAGCTTTTGTTTGCCGCTCAAAACATTTCGGTCCCTCACAAACTAGATTGGATGAAAGTCATTGCGTAGGTTTTGCCTTTCAATTTCCCAAACCGAATTAATGGGCGAAATTCATCAAAACACCGTGGAGTTCACGTTTCCAAGTAGATTGTGGGTATATATATTTGGAACGCTCGAAGGAAACATGCATATTGTTAACAGAAAGTTCCGACTGAGTTCATATCCTAAGATAAAGGTGCTCAACAAATCGAAGTATCACGGTCAACTGCCAACACTCTGTGGGTGTTTAGACAATGTCAGTGTTAAATCTAATGTTGAACTTGCAGCTCATTGTTGATCTCATGATCGTTGCCTGAACCACCAGGTAGAGGTAAGACCTCTCAATTTCAAGTGCGTAGAAATGGCTTGCAGCGTACATCCTCTGTAATTTAGTTGGTACATCGGTCGTGTTTGAACCGGGGAACTGATTCAAGTTTGCTCCCAGTCGTGGTCATCTGTTTACGCACTTCAACTTCATAATCTCTAAAGAAAGTCTAATGGTTTGCTCCGTCTTCAACCTAGGCGAAATTGCTCCGAGAAAAGGTGTTGCTTTTGTCACTCGTGAATCATTTTATGCATTAGGACACTTGCTTATGATCCACTTCGGCCTGCTACGCTGTATCGTTCGTTGGTATTGCTGCGTACTCCATAATGCCCACCGCTATATCACCATAGACTTTTTCGTCGTTCTTCTTTGCAGCATTTTGGTCGGTCTGATTGAACCGCTGAATCCACTCCCAATCTTCGGCCAAGGTAAACATATGATTTGCGTCATATATATGACCAGTTTTCGAATATGCGTTGCGTGTGCATAGAGTGATCAGTCGGTAAAAGGGAACCACCGTTTCATTTGATTGATTTCTCAAAATTAACGAATTTTATATATGAGAACCTTAAGAGGCTAAGTAACAGTTAGCAAGTGTTCATGCTAAGCAGGCCCAATGGTAAGCTGAACTGAGAATAACAGCGAGAGAAAGCGCTGACCAAGACCGAAGTAAGCTATGCGATTACAGTTAAACAACAACATCAGAATCCTCTTAATTAAGCGACTCGTTTCAGTTTTTGTCGTAATGTACTCTTACTAACTTGAATTTTAATATGTATTCAACATTAACAATTCTGGAGCACTCAACTGACAATGTTGAGCTCGGTCTTTCAGTCCATCAGTTAGGTGTTTCTGCTGAAAAATTCCAGGGTGGGATTTGGACACAAAATTTTCGAAACAAATTTCAGTTACTAACGTCAGTTTCTACGTTTCATCGGCTAATAACAAGAGATTTTTATATTGCACAGCAGTCAATTAGGAGCAAAGCGTCAGGCATCTACGAAACATTCTGATTGGTTTCGGTTCAAAGAGGTTGTTACAAAGTCAATTTATCGGTGGGGTGTGGAAAAAGGAAGTTTTGCCATAGGATTTATCAAAAAGTGAGAATATTATAGGTTACAGTAGACAACTGATCATGAAACACCACCCGAGGAGTGAAAGTTTAGGAAATTTAGCGTTAGATGTCTGCTTAAGGCACTCAAATCTTTGCTGTCCATTTGAGCAACGAGCCAAGTCGCCATAACCATTCACCTTGCTCACTCCCTACTTTGAGCAGGGTTCATTATGTCACTGATCACATTTGACTTTGCTCTGTTATTTTGCCATCCTATCAATTATGTCCTAAAATCAAAACGGCTAGGTGGCCGAGCCAGAAAGGGCGCATAAACGATTTGCGTGCTGTGCAAGCTTTAAAATTTACCAAGATCACTTAAAGTATGCATTTTATAAAGTCACAACATAAAATAGGTCTTTGTTGAAGAATACAAATAAATCACAACCATACCACAACAGATCAAGTTCCCCACAATACTTCTCAATTCATCTCCTTTAATATTACCTGATGTTTTCTGTGAAGTTTCGGAGACAGGACCTTATTTGCATTGTCCGATCTGTCGATGGTAAAAAATTGCCCCACAGTGCATCTGACACAGTATTTCCTGAAAGAAAAAACAAGCAGCCTGTGCAAACGGTGTTTTTTCACAACTGTTAGAGAAAAGGTCGTCGCTTATTTTGGACTCTACCCCAAACATTCTTCGAAGTTCGCGAATATACACTCATTCGCAAACTAATTTGGTTTTTCGAGAGACTCACTTGGAACCCAGCTGAATCTCTCGTTTGTGTTGTCCTTCGAAGTTCGTTCATGCCACTTTCACCCTATCAAGGTTGAATACTTCACACGCCAAAGATCCTCATATTGATTTTAGTTGAACTTGGAATCTAGGAGCAAATGGTTAGTCCCTGTCAAACTGATGTGATTCCATTCTTATTATAGTAATGTAAGGGAGAAATGAGTATCGGAAACAGATTACTGTTGGGTTAATAGTACTTTCAAAGCACCTGTATCCAAGATAGTGTTCGTGCTTGTATGTGCATTCTGTGGCTTACTTTCGCGGTAAAGACAGATGTGTACAGATGTGTGATCCACCCAAAACGGTCCTCTTTTATCCAGCCAATCATACTGGTCGACAGGGACTAATTGACATTTGACGATCGCCAGGTGAGACTGAATACAACAGAAGCTTGGGAAATGAGAATGTTTTGAGTTGACGATTACGATTCACACCACTGTGACCGAGGTGCTGAAGAGGTGTTAAGAGAATAATAATGAAACTGGTGGGCATGTGCAGAGAGGATTTCGATCAGCCAAATTCAAAAATGAAAACGAGTCACGAGTAGAACTGGTATCAGATCTCGTGTTCATCGCTAAAGGCGACCAAAGAATAAAACCTCGCCCGCTCCTGATCAAAAAGCTGTATAATTAACTAACTAATTCACTCTAATTGAAGTGCTCTGAATTTCTTCTACCCATCGGTCGTGAGAAAACTTAGGCATCTCCCCTACAGGTCAACAAGATTAACCGTTAGTCACTAGCAGTCCAATGTGCTAGTTGAAAGGAATCTTGTCCATTGGTTCTCCATTATCCAGGTACCATTCCTCACATAGCGTTTCGAAAGTTTTTGTCAGAAGCAAAACTGTGTGCAAAAAAAAATGAAGTATTGTTTGTCAGTCCTTTCCGAAATAATCTGAGGGGCATTTAGAATGATTGGACGGGTGGCCCTTGTGAAAGTGACACCTAGGATATTGGAATGAATACAGTTCAGCTAACGGAGTGTTCTCCGTTCTGGACAATCCCCTCTCTCATACCGCACTCAGATTTCCCTCAGACGATTAGTCAACTGATCTCTGGTTGCACAAATGTTTTTATTGCAGCTGGTAAAGCTCTGCCCCAGAAAAACACAAACAGGACCTCCAGGTATTACCTGGAGTGTATTTCACAAGTTGATGTTAGGTCTTAGTCTACTTCAATAGATATCCTTCACCATAACGACACGCTAGGTTTCTGTTCATGGCTCACACGGATGTGAATTATCCTACACTCTGTAAAACAGACTGATCAGCTATTTAGGATGTTTTTGTTTAAACAATATCGACAGCGCTAGAAAGTAGTGTTAGAGGCAAGATGGCTCAGTGGTTTGAACGCGAATTTACTGACCGGAAGGTCCGTGGTTTGAACCCGACCTCTGCCTATCGACTTCCCCCTTTAGGGTTGGGCAACCTAGCAGTATCTCAGCCCTCGTGCTTACTTCTGGTGGCATGAAAGTTAGGCACCTAAAGGGTGTTACAGCTGCGCTCTATCTTTTTAAACCTGTTCCCATGGTAGCTTCAATTTGACTTTAATTTGTTGAGAAGCAAGACAGATAACTGAGGTCCCGATGATTCAAGACATTTTAATATCTAAGAGAACTCGTTTAAAGAAGTGAGCAACCACATAATTGGAGGGACTACTTCACTTAGATAGCATTGTACAGCGAAGAAATTTCACTCATACAGTAAACTATACCCTTGAATATTTGCTTGTAGAAAACTGTCAGCGAAACTTTTAGGGATATTTACCTTGGGAGAGAAAGGATAAGAGGTCTTGTGATAGGGATCCGGCTACGAAAACAAAGCAACTGTACGTTCACGTCGAAAAAACGCTCTGAAGATCGACGCCCGTGTTAT